TTATTAAGAGTTGCAAACACAAGTAAAAAGTACCAAACCTAAATAATATAGAATTCTCCAATTAGCAGTCTCCAAACAAAAGGTTGTGTACTCTACAAATAGGTGGACCATATATTTGAGAGCTGCATGCCGACTTTTTAGTTGATATATAAAGATAGAAATAACTTCTAGAATCTAAAAACAACATTATCGCAGGTAATAATGGAGTTTTAAGCTAGTAAAGCCCACATAAATGACAAAAACCGATCATAAAAGATGTCAGATAAGGACCGATTTAAGTGGGTTTTTTGTACTATACGCGCATCTCACCGATATGTGGCGGTCCGCAATTAGTATTTTTTTTAGATCAAATAAAAAAAATTAAATAACCCTCTAAAAGTTTCAGGGATAATTATGCTCTAAGTATTTAGGTGCTTATTAAAATTAACATCTACTCCATCTTTGTAACTTTTCTTTGTTGACAAAAATTATTCCTGTTTAACTTTTAGAAGATATCTTTTTCAAAATACTTTTTGTTCTTCTTAAGTTAAGAAAAGCATAAATACATTAAATTTAAGGGAAATTAGGTGAAATAATATATATTAAAAAATATTTTTCATTATCCAAATAAAAATACTCTTTTTCTCCTATTTTCCCTTCCTATCTCTCTCTAATTTCTCACTAAAAAAACTAATTACTTTTTAGTTATTTCACAAATAATCCCTAAATTTAAACATTATTTTACTTTGTTGTGTTCAACGCGTATATTTTTACTAAGATCTTGATCAAATACAACCTTTAGAATATTGGTAAGAAAAACTGTAGCATATACATATACATACAAATTAGACACTGTATAAGAGTGAATTTCCATTTCTATTTTTGAACCAAATTAAAATAAAAAGAAAATATAAGAAACTGACATAACAATCAAATATCCTGACTTCCTTTTGAATATCAAATTTCATGTGTAAGTAAAATTCTATAAATAATAATTGAAAATTATTATAAGTATTATTGTTTTAGAAAATTAAGTCTATAATTTAAAATATTATTTTAACTTAAATTCATATATTTGACTAAAATTATTTTTATTTTTATTTTCATATTTACGAATGTATAGAACAACATCAAATTTTAAAAGTAAAAAATAAAAATGATTTATTTTGAAGGAAAAAACTAATTTTCTATTTTATTTAAAAAATATAGCTAGGTTTATGTAATTTTATATACGATAGCTATTAAACTAAACAAGATTTTGTAAAGTATTATATCTATAAATTTATCAAATAATACTTTAGTAAATTATACTAACATGTTTTTATGTTGATCACTGTATATATTTTTATGTGCGTGTGTTTGGAGTAATAGGCTAATAGCATACATTTTGATTAACGATTCATGTGGTTGAAAATGTTATATGAAAATTGATGGTTAGTAACAAAGTAAATGCACATGTTCAAACTAGATAGGACGGCGAAGTGGGGGTAAGGTGGGTTGTTAACTTGTTATCATTCACCGACCCAATTTGACTTTGCAGCTGCATTCTAAAGTTTCTGTGTTTTTTTCTTGTTGCCAACACATCTTTTAGGTTTACTGTGTCCCCTATATGTTTTTCTAAACTTTTTAATCAGTTTCCTTTTCCTATTTTAATCTCTTAACTACATTTCTTAATAGTGATCTTCTGTAATTTTGCCGTCCACTTGCGAATAGGCTCGTGAGCACCACAACTAACTTAGTTTGTTGTTTATTTATTCTGGGCTGGTTTAAGTTCCTTTTTTTCTCCTAAACTTACCAATGTGGTATTCTGCTCCCGTGAATGACCAGTTGCCCACTATGTTTCACACTTTTTCCTATTTTAATCTTTTAACTACTAACTTTTAACTTTTTAATAGTGACTTATTTGTAGTTTTTCATCCATTTGCAATAGGCCACTATCTTTCACACCTTTTCCACGTAAGAAAAAAGATAGCAACTTTTCTTTTTAGTTTTAGAATATTCACAGAATATGTTCGTAAAGTAAACTCTCCGTGGTAAGTTATCCGAATCTCACTTGTAGCCAAAGCATTGAATCCAAAACAGAAATTGTAAACCTAGTATACTTGTCTATCAGTGCTAATGTGCTATGCATGTACCTGCGGTGTTTTTTTTTGCTAAAATTTGATGGTACCTGCGGTGTTGAGTATTTTTTTACGTATTGAGTATATGCGTAAGAGCCTTCATTATTTTTATAAAACAATGTTTTCATATAAAAATTATTCCAAAAAAAAACTGAAAATCATATGTAACACAAAACTTCTGACAACTAACATCATGTTTAAAATATTACTTTTTAAAATAAAAGTAAAGCTAACCAAACTTGATTACTTTGTTAAAAATGGTACTAAAACAAATATTTCTACTGCGCATGTACTAAAACAAGTATATGCGTAAGAGCCTTCATTATTTTTATAAAACAATTTTTTCATATAAAAATTATTCCAAAAAAAAAACTGAAAATCATATGTAACACAAAACTTCTGACAACTAACATCATGTTTAAAATATTACTTTTTAAAATAAAAGTAAAGCTAACCAAACTTGATTACTTTGTTAAAAATGGTACTAAAACAAATATTTCTACTGCGCATGTACTAAAACAAGTATATGCGTAAGAGCCTTCATTATTTTTATAAAACAATGTTTTCATATAAAAATTATTCCAAAAAAAAAACTGAAAATCATATGTAACACAAAACTTCTGACAACTAACATCATGTTTAAAATATTACTTTTTAAAATAAAAGTAAAGCTAACCAAACTTGATTACTTTGTTAAAAATGGTACTAAAACAAATATTTCTACTGCGCCCCCCCCCCATATGTGCGAGTATTTATCTTGATATTTATATATATAAACGAGAATATTTTCCTTTCTCATGAAACCACCTCAGTTATATCTAAAATTATACATGTCATGTTTTTAGTTGCAAAATCAAAGTTTAACTAAACACTTATGTTTCTTTGTTCTGTGGCCCATGATTCTAAATTCATGTTTGACCCATCTTTTTTTTTTTAGAATTTCACACAATTACCAACAGAAAAAAAAATTTATCTCTTGACATGAAGCGGTGGCCGGATAAATTCGTAATAACATTTTGGCAACGTGATGACTCGGTGATAAATAAAATACGAGCTCCACGTTTTTTGTTGTATCATGCTTCATCCTATGTTACCAAAAAATCAGTAGTTATGTGTATGTTGATAACACTATATTTAATATCTTTTTCCCATTCAGTATCTACATTACAATACTCATTTTCAACACTCAAATATGTTGCACTTTTAAAAATTAAAATATTTTATTTGTTGAAAATATCTCTTTGGCATTCATTATTTAGACTGTAATACTCTTTTTAAAATTTCAATATATTACAATTTTAAAATAAGGAAATATCTTTTTGTAAATTGCAAAATTTTCAAGAATAGTATATTCTATATTTCAAGGAAAACAATTAAAAAGTTTATCAAACGCAATGAAAATTAAGTGTAGAAAAAGAATAATTAATAAACATAAAGAAAAAGACTATAACATAACAAAGTAGAAAACAATCAGAAGCTAAAAGGTAACTTTTCTCTGTTTGAGGCGGATGTGGCAAACTAAGATAAGAGTGCTTAACGAAGTGGTTGGATAAGAGGTGATCAGATTTATCATTCCACTCGACAAACTGCTTAAAAAGTGAAAAATAATAATATTATATGGGTATTTATCAATATTTTAAGTTTTCAATAAAAAAAATTCAAAAGATATGCTGGAAAAAGCATGCTAAAAATATAACAAGCATCATTTCACAAATATCACTATTACTCAAACTAGATAATATGTAAAAATATATAGTTGTTATTTGTAGAATTTGAAATATATGTATAATTGTAACTTTTGTATTATAATCTAAGCTTTTCATGTTATATAACACATCGAATCTTACATATTGAAAATAGAGATTACTTTCAATTTAGAGTAAACTAATCATTTTAAAATATTCAATTTAATTGATAATATATTGTATAGTGTTTTCAATTACTAACCCGTCCGTAGGACGGGCCAAACCCTAGTACTTAAATAAAACTAATCTATATAATAATGGGGTAGTTTACTCTTTTCTGAGGCGCCACGTCAGCCCTTTTTTAATGGGTTCCACTTGTTTTTATACTATAAAGCTTATACACACTAGCTATTAACAACTAAAGACAATTTGGTCCAGTGGTATAAACTACCTAAGTAAAGCTTACCTCCGCGAGTATAGGGGTTCGAATCCCCCTAGCTTTCTTAGTTTTTTGTGGGCTTATATAGATTCCGGCCCAGATAGATTTCTCTCACGTGTCCAGTTTCTGTGAGCCACATGGTTTAAAAAATAATAATAATAATTCGACACCAGGCCTCATATCTTTACGTTTTCGTTTGGGTTAATGTTTTACCAGGCCATGATTGTTAGATTGATGGCCCATATAGCTGCTCGGGATTCATAATCACCGCCTTAAACTTTGCCGACAAACGACGGTTCACGTTCCAGAGATTCGTATCTGGATCCTTTCACTCAAGTCACATTCACTTGCAACGATACAAATCTTCTTCCTGTAACGGGTTCTTCATCCTCCTATATATGAAGGTGCTCCGCTGTGTGATTTCATTTCCCTTTCAGCTTTATTCTCCGATTATTTCTTTGTTAATCGCTTAAACTACCGTTACGAAAATGAATTGTTCAGATGCTCCAGTCATTACCAGAGTTGTGGTCCGCCTCTTAGTTGAACCGTATGTACATTTTGCTCTCCTTTCAGTCTGTTGCTATGATCTCAGATTGTGTAGTATCTTGCTATGAATTGTTCAAGCTCTTTACTTGATGGTTGTATTTATTCCGTGGAAGCGTTCTTGATAACTTCGTTGTGGATTTCATTACTTAAAATGCTTCTTTGGCATTTGCGCTAGACTTGATTTGTGTTTTTACATCATGTGGTTTTGTTTGTGAGAGTTTCTTCTTTCTTATGAAACACAAAAAGCTCTTCGTGCTCTTGGGAATTCAACACAGACAGATTGATCTCAACACATTACTTGGTCTCTTTTTTCCCAGAATGCAAAGACTAGCTCAGGAGCAGAACGAGGAGATTGAAAAAGTTAACCATGAAAAGAACTATCATCAGGTGATAATACTATTGAAGTATTTATTCACACATTTTCTTCATAGCATTCTTCTCGTTGGTTTATGGGTTAATCTTATATAATCTTTGTTTTGTGGCAATATCAGCAAACCACAGCGTATGAGCTCAACGCTCTATCTCAAGAATGGAGACAGCTCTGTGTCAAGAATATGGAGATCCAGTCTGTGTGTGCTGTGCTTGAGACAAAAATCGATTCTTTGAAAAAAGAAGCTTTTGAAAGGCGAATGAAGTTTTGTTATTGCCTCTTTGCATTGCAAGCACAAAACTAAAAACTCTTGTGCTTGAGTTTCAGGGGATGAAACCTAAAAGAGAAAGTAGACAGTGTCAAACCGCTTCAATCGCAGTGAGGCAATTGCCGTGCTTGCGTTTACTGATTTCTTTAAAGCTTATAGGAATCCATCCATCATGTCTCTTGCTATATTTTTCAATGTTTGTTTTTCAAATATTATATATAGTATAAGAGAGTTCGTATCAGAAACATACTAAAGTATTAGGTGAATGAGTGTTTATGTTTATGCAGTAACAGTTTAGAATTGTTTTAAAAAGAAAAATTAAACAACTTTACATTCTTTTTCATCTTCATATTTTTCGTCCTAAATTCTCTCTGAAACCATATAACTAAACTTCCTCTAGAAATTGAACCATATTATTTACACATGACGTTACTGTATCTCAGGAACACGGTGGGAGTCTTTTTCCAAGAGCTGGAGGTGACAAAGGATTGACAGCAAAATCTTCGGGACCGTCTGTACTGGGAGACAAGACTGGGGGGGGGGGGGGAATGTGCTTCAGCTGATTCTCCGGAGATTTCAAACTCCCTGAAGAAACGAAAGTACAGCCGTTGGGTGATTGGGATATGTATTCCTCGCAACCCGTCAACACCCTTTTTTTTAAAGAACTTCTACTACTGTTTCCCATTACAAACTTTTGCTATTTTCCTTTATTGTTTTCCTGCTGGTGATTTTTCACCTCTGTTTTGGAATATTAAAGAATCTTTAACAGGGTTTACTTATTCAATACTTACCGTTAGTAATTTCCCCCCTTTATGTTTTGTTGAAATAGGCTAAATGAGCCAGATATTCTAATTTTTTGGCTTCTTGCTCTTCCAAGTAAGGAATAGTGTGTGTGATTTGGATTCCGAAACGAATTACAGACCCAAGTCAGGAGTAGTTGTTGTTAAGAAATTTGTTTCCCACTCTTTTCCGAATTTACAGTGGCTTAGTTTATTACCAACATCATCTCATTTGGGAAGCACAAACCTAGACGATAGGTTGAAAAGTGCGACATGAATTCTATAATTTACCTCTAAGAAATAGCCGTAGATAGTACGTAGAAGATAGCGAGGTTATATATAGAGTGTTGAGGCGGCCTATAAACTTTAAATCTTTTAATAATTATTTATAAACTCTAAATAATTTTATAGTTATTTAATTTTGATTATTAAAAAGCTCTTCATACTCTTATGTATTCAACAAAAAAAAGATAGCAATTTTTAAAGTTTCCTTTCGAAACTATATATTTTAGAAATACAATTTATTTTGAATGTTGTAACTGTATCAAATTTTAATCAAATTTTTTTTTTCTCTCAGAAAAATAGATCAAAACTATCTAGGACTCTTTTAGAATATTAATTAGAAAATAATAAATTCGAACTCTTAAAAAAATACCGACTAAACGGTTTTTCCATAATCGGATATTTAGAATCCAATATTACTTTCTCATTTTGACTATATCGCTATATGAGATTGTAGAATTATTACCTATTAATAAAAACACTACTGAAAATTTTTAATTTCAGAATCAATTCAAGAAACTGTTAAAATATAATTATTTACTGTTCATATATGTTGTTTTATTTGAAAATCAAAATTTATCTCTTTCTCATTCCATTACTTCATTTCTATACTTACAACTGCAAATGTTCAGTTTACTATGATCATGAGATTGCTATTAAAGTAAATGGTCTATCAAATCATTATAAATATAAAATATGAAAATAACAACAAATAGAATTTTGCTAAACATTCTTATATCGTCTAAATTAAGAAGTGTGACTTCCAATATTTCAGTTGTACATTATTATAGATAAGATGGACAAACAACACAATACTAACCAATAACACAAATATTAACAATAACAACAAAAGACAAATATTAACAACAATAACATAAAAAGCATACAAAATGTTTCCGGTTCCGAGCTTACGCGGGGACTGCTACTAGTCCAACATAATAAGCACTTCGCACTACCATCTCCATATTGACAAAATTCTGTCTTTGCTTTTCTGGTCCCATTGATTTTGAGCCCATCTTGAGTCGAAGGTTAATAATAATACACATCATGTCATTTTCATAGAGCTTCTGTTTTTTCTCTTTATTTATGTTATTTGATAAATCTTTTGCTTTTTCTCCTTTACAGTTCAGTATGTGTACATCAAATGTCTACCACATATACTACACTCGTATATTTTCTCTCAGCTTCAGTTCAAACGGAATCCAATTAGCCTCACCTCTTGAGCAAGACGTTTCATCAGATGTGTCGATAGATGTGTTGGAACATATTTGGAAAGATAGATGTGTTGATCAACAATACCGGAATCAGATGCAATGTCAGGTAAGAAGATGAGTGGGAAACAGTCTTCATAAAGATGTTTATTTAATTAATTTTTTAAAAGAAAACTAATCACAAAATTACCTAATCTAATCTATGTTTCCAAATAAATAATTAAACATCTTAAATAGATTAATTAACATAATTTATTTACGGAAACAATTAAATATCATAGATTACATTATATAAATTGATAATATACAGATACATATATATGATACTACAAAATATTATATAACCAGTTTTAATATATTTATATTAGTAGTAAATACAACAAATCATAGATTGTAGAAAATTAATTAATCTAAGCCTAATAATATCAATTAAATTCACGTGTTCACCAAAATATTTTTAAAATACGTCAAATGAATGTAAAACAATCAAATATATAATTAAAAATAATTCCAACCATTTTTCAGTGACAATGTGATATTATAGCTGAGTTATTACTTCTAAAAATGATTAAAATATTGTTATATTTAAAACATTAAAATATATAGTAAGTAATTTGAAATGGCATTAATCAAGAAAAAGTTGGATTATGTAATTATATGATTAGTTTCTTTTTAAAAACTTTAACAAAATAAAAAATATCAACCAATCATATTATAAAAATTAATTGAAGAGCTCTCCTATGAACGATACATCAGTAGATGTCACTTAAGTTACTTCTCAATTAATATATATGAAGTGACTTCTCATTTAATATATTGGAGGATAGTTGGGACTATAATAAAAATTTTATGATTATTTTTAATAGAAAAAAGAAAGAAGACATAAATATAAAACAGAAGGAAAGAACAATAATACTTGTTTGTTGTCTTCTTGGTTCTTTTAAAAAAAAATTTATTGTTTTGCGGAGATATATGTATTTTATGTGTCACTAAAAATGTAAAATAATTATTTTTATGTGTGTTTTAAAACATCAATATAAATTGAGAAAAGAAGATCAATAAAAATAATCAGTTCTACAATTTATAAATTCGAAGATGGAAAATATAATATAAATTGAAAGTAAGAAAAAGTTATTTAAAAATAATGTATGAATTTTGCGGTATAATAAATTTTTACAATGAATGATAATAAAATTTCAAAATTTTTATACAAATAAAAACATTTTATAAAGATTTAATATTGAAACTCACATTAATATTAAGTATACATGTTAAAAATAACAACAATAAATTATTTAAATATTAAATTTTCTTATATATAATTAGTTAATCATATTAAATTAAACCAGGTATGTATTAAAGTAATTTAAAATAAATGAAAATAATACCAGATATCTAAAATGCTTAGTTTTAATAAACAAATTTGATAAAATAAATTAGTGTTCGATACAATAGTGTTATGATCAGAGAATATTTAAGGATGAGTTTGTTTGCTTAACCAATTTTGAAGTTTATTTTAAACACTAAATAAAAAATGAGTGAGAAGAGTGATTTTTTTATATGACAAAATTATTAAACTTTCTAACTATTTTGCTTATTAGTAAAATAAAGTGGAAGACAAAAAATACGAGGAATAAAAAGTGTTATAACTATATTTTTTCAATAATTTTGGTTTTTTAGTTAATTACAAATTCTGTTAAAAAAAATATTTGAAAATTAGATTAAAATTTATAAAATTATCACTATATCTCAAAACTCTTCTGCTTTTTATCCACCCTCTAAACTTTTCTAAGGTTATATAACACCAAACTTTTGACTTTCAAATAATTTAAAGTTCAAAAATTATTTAATATTTATGATTATTATTCAAAATTTTAAAATTATAAACAAAAAAAATAGTTTCATACAATTTTATATTCACGAAACTGTGGGCCACCCCTAATTTAATATATATTCAGAGTAAATATATATATAATACATAAACATGTTAATTTCAAATTTTTCATTGGGTAGAAAGCGTTAATTAATAAATATTCATATTAATACAATAGTATTTTTGTTACAGTAAATATATAAATGTTAATAAAATCATATAAGTATTGATATCACTCAAATTACCCTAAGAACTAATTTACTCTTTCAAACAAGAGACCAGTTGTAGTACTTAGGGATCGAATCCACAAGGAGCTAAGGAACCGATTAAATCTAATCAAGCAATAAATCTAGGTTGGGACTAATCCCTCTAACCTATTTGAACCCTAAACCTAACATGTGAATACTCAGACATAGCTAAGCAATTCATAGCACAAGCAAAATAAATAAACTTCATAAAATAGATAGATAGATAATAATGGAGTTTCAATCACAAATCACTCTGGATCTTCTCTCCATCTCTAAAAATCCTAAAAAACTTTTGCTGTGAAAAATAAGAATACAAGAAAGCTCTCATTTGCCTAAAAGAACTTAGCAAAGTATAATATTTAGGTAAAAACTCATTAGGGGCATAATTGTAATTTGGTGAAGTCTTGGGCTTCAAGTCGGCTGGGACACGAATTGGTCATCCGCGCCTTCGGTGTCAATCGATACTGATAAGAGCATATCGATCGATTATAAACACTCCATGTCAACCTCAATGTGTTGGTCGATATCCAAATCGATTGATTTCTCTAATTCTCTCCAAAATGCTCCAAAAACATCACTTTCTTCTAAAATACTCATGAACCTATAAATATACTTAAAAGCTTCTATAATATAATAAATATTT